GCCATCTCCAGACCCTTCATCAGGTGAGCCCAGCAGCCCCAGCGGGGTTTGGGGTGGGAGTTGGGAGTCACAGAGCCCACGGAGCACCCTCAGTTTGGAGGGATCCTCTGGGATCACCCAGCGCAGCCCTGGCCCAGCACAGGCACCCTGACAATGCCAGCCTGTCCCAGAGAGGTGCCCAAGGGCTCCTGGAGCTCTGGCAGGGCTGGGAATGTGCCCAGCACCCTCTGGGGGAGGAACCTTTCCCTGAGCTCCATCCCAGATCCCAGAACCTTTCCCTGAGCTCCATCCCAAATGCCTGAATCTGTCCCTGATCTCCATCCCAAACCCCAGAACCTTTCCCTGATCTCCATCCCAAATGCCTGAACCTTTCCTGATCTCCATCCCCAATCCCAGAACCTTTCCCTGAGCTCCATCCCCAATCCCAGAACCTTTCCCTGGTCTCCATCCCCAATCCCAGAACCTTTCCTGATCTCCATCCCCAATCCCAGAACGTTTTCCTGGTCTCCATCCCAAATCCCAGAACCTTTCCCTGATCTCCATCCCAAACCCCAGGACCTTTCCCTGCTCTCCATCCCCAATCCCAGAACCTTTTCCTGCTCTCCATCCCCAATCCCAGAACCTTTCCCTGGTCTCCATCCCCAATCCCAGAACCTTTCCTGGTCTCCATCCCAAACCCCAGAGCTTTTCCCTGATCTCCATCCCCAATCCCAGAACCTTTCCTGGTCTCCATCCCAAACCCCAGGACCTTTCCCTGCTCTCCATCCCAAATGCCTGAACCTTTCCTGATCTCCATCCCCAATCCCAGAACTTTGCCTGGTCTTCATCCCAAACCCCAGAACCTTTTCCTGGTCTCCATCCCAAACCCCAGAACCTTTCCCTGATCTCCATCCCCAATCCCAGAACCTTTCCCTGATCTCCATTCCCAATCCCAGAACCTTTCCCTGATCTCCATCCCAAATCCCAGAACCTTTCTTTGTTCTCCATCCCAAGCCCCAGAACCTTTTCCTGATCTCCATCCCCAA